GCTGGATCACTGTCATAATGGACACTTGGCCCCTTTTCAACTAGTGCCACTTAGTGTAGTGTCGGCACGGTTCGGTACAGTTCCAAGCCATTTCCATTAGGCCAGATCCATGGAAACGGCACTTTTTTTTAGTACCTACTTCATTGTGGTTCCAACCAGTCCCAGCTGACACCAAAATGCGAMGTCAGAACACTGTCCGTCACTGATTGGCTAAATCTTTGCAAATTTTTAAAATTTCAAAAGTTGTTCATTAAATGTGTTTCCATCTCTCATTTTTCCCATTAAATTAAAAAAAATTAAAAACCACCTCCACCAACCGCCCAAAACACACCCATTGGAACCGGACTGGAACATCAGTGGAAAACCAACCGGTCCGACCTGTACCCACACCGACCGTTCCGACACTACACCATGGAAAAGGAGCAGTGTGTCCTCGTGGATGACACGATGACACTTGGTGTTGTCACGGACACTTCTAACCATGTGCTGCCCGACCGTAGCCTGATGCAACGTCTGTTCTTGTGTCATTATAATGTTTGGTACAATTCTATAAACAATCCTGTCCACACAACTCACTGTGAATTCCACAAAGAGTAATGTAAGCACACATGTGGGAACTGAGTGACGAGCTTCGCTTCTCAGCTTAACTAAACAAGACTTGTGCAACACAACAAGGAAATAAACACTTTAAGTTAGAAATAAATAACATTTTCTGTAAAAATGCTGCGTGAGCACTGATGCCTCACAGCAAGAAGGTCCTGGGTTTGATTTTCAAGCCTTTGTGTGGAGTTAGCAAGTTTTCCTCATGTTAGTGTGGGTTTTCCCACAGTTTCCTCTCACAGACCTAAAACCTGCATTTCAATCTGTTCAGATCCAGGCCTGCCCTGAAAACAGATCTGTGATCTCAGTGGAGTCTGTCTGGTTAAACTGTGCCTAATATATAACTTCGTTAAAGGTAAAACAGTTAAAACTAAATCTAAATTAGTCCAATTAAAAGTCAAAAGTTAAACTTACCAAAGCTAAAGTATGCCAACAGATAAAATTAGTACAACAAAAACTAAAACTACTTTAATAAAACAATACGCTGAAGCCAAAATTAGCCAAAAAGTAGCTGAAAGCTAAGAAGATTAGCCAACAGAGCAGAGATGTGAGCAAGTCGTTTTTTGCAAGTCCAAGCCAAGTCTCAAGTCTCTTGACCTCAAGTCTGCATCTAGTTGCATGTATTACTT